TGGGACTTAGTAAGTAGGGTTATATCTAAGGTAACTATACTTATATTTACTTGTAACCCCAAGTAAGGGACTTAGAACCTTACTCACTAAGTCCCATGATCCTCCAAGTAGGGTTTAGGGTGAAGCTGGGGCTTTGGAAGAGGGTCTGTGTTGCCAGGGGGAGAGGGCTCTTGAGGGCTCGAGGTTTCGGGTGTTTAAAAATGGTCAGGAACATGTCGGGCTGGGGGGGACTGAGGTTGTAAGCATGGTTCATCTGTGTCACTTGCAGGAGCGGCGACGTTGGCAATGCTTCAGGATCTCAAACCGTGTCTAGCTTCCAGCTTCCAATTCGCCGTGCGTTTGCCCCTTTGAGATTTTTGGGTCTGGTTTAAGTTTGGAGATGTTCAAGGCAGCAACGCCTGCTAGGCCGGTTTTTGCGACAGCAGGCTCGTCGGCAAGTGATACGAGGCAGGCTCGCTGATACGAAGACCTCGGTGGTATTTGGGGCTTCGGGTTTTGGGTTTCGAGGACCTTCAGGGTTCAGACGTTTAGGGTTTAGGGTTTAGGGTTTAGGGTTTAGGGTTTAGGGTCGGAGCCCCAAGGACAGGAAACACCTGTATCTCCCATTTATGCCCTCCCGTTCAGAAGCTACATGACGCGATGCAACTCGCAGCAGATCTACATCGCTTCTGCACCCTTATCTATCCTCTACTGTAGATCCAGGAGGGACCCCTTATGGGGACCCTTAAACCCACTACCTTAAATAACCATTGTACAGGCCTTATATACCCCTTATATAGCCAGGTAGTCTCCATCTTAACCCCAATAACCCACAAGGATCCCTATTAAGGGTCCCTCCTAAACCCTAAACCCTAAGCCCTATAAGCCCTATAAGCCCTATAAGCCCTATAAACCCTATAAACCCTAAAAACCCTAAACCGGTCCCGAAGCCTCAGGTCTGAAGGCATGGGGTATGAGAAGCTGGACTCTGCGACTGGGGCTGTGAGTGGTAGTTGAACAAGGGTTTGGGGTTTAGGGTTTAGGGTTTAGGGTTTAGGGTTTGGGGTTTAGGGTTTAGGGTTTCTTACTCAGCGAGTCTAATGTAGGGGCCTCAATAATTAGAATAGGGTTTTGGGGCCCGTTATACTCTAGATATAATAAGGAACCCCCAAGAAGCCTATTCTAATTATGAAGGCCCCTACATTATCCGATCCTTGCGCACCTCCTTGTGGGGGTTTCGGAGGGCTTTCTTTCTCGACGCTGCGCCCCTGAGAGGGTTCACAAATGTCCCAGGGTCGCACCAAATACTCTCGAGGTTTTAAGGCTTCGGGTTTAAAGGGTATAGGGTTTAGAGGCTGAGACACGCGTTTCGTTCAAGAGCTTCGACAGGATGTTGCGCACGGTGCTGGAAACGTCGATGTCCACCTCTGGATGCCAAGGTTTTGAGATGTGGCTCCGAACATCGTAACTCGACCCAGCCCCCAAAGCCCCATAGATTCGACCCCACACTTTTCCGTCTTGCATTGAGAGGCCTGAGCCGGAAATCCATCTCTCCCTTGAAGCACGCTGACATCTTCTATCGCTGTCTTCCGTAGTTGGGAAAGGCTGCACATCCCTAAACCCTAAACCCTAAACCCTAAACCATGTCTGCAGCTTCGGCACATCAGCCAACTCCAGCACGGCATCCAGAATGTGTCGGACCTGGAGGCTGAGGGATCGGGATGAAAGGATATGAAAAAGGTCTCTCTAAATCTGAGAGGGTTTAGGGTTTAGGGTTTAGGGTTTGGGGTTTAGGGTTTAGGGTCTCTCTAAATCTGAGAGGGTTTAGGGTTTAGGGTTGGTACTGTAGAAGCCATAATAGTTACCTATATAAATCTTCGGGGTTCCTTCGTATTCTTCATGGACCCCAAAACCCTATTGAAATTATTAACACCCCTACATTACACAACCCGACGAGCTCGAGGCATTTTATCCGGTCACTGCGAACAGACTGCCTGGGATGCTCACCCTCCAAAGTCTTGAACCAATGCCAGTCTCAGTTGCTTTCTGCAGACAGGGTTGAGGGGCGTAGGGAAGCCTCTTGCGTAGTCTATGATATGCTCAGTGGCAACCGCAGATTGAAACCTCTTCAAGGCGTGAAGCTTGCGGCTTCGGGCTCAGCCACATTCTAGCCACGGTGCCTTCCGCTGCTTTCGGCTCATCATCGTGCGTGAAGGATAGAACTCGACCTTGACCCGGCGAATCGGGTGCACCCCGCAACCGCCCTCACCCCCCTACCCTCCTACATCCATACTCTCACCAAGCCTGCACCCCAAGCGCAAGCCCGTTGGCTTTAAGTCCCTGAAGCTTCGAGGCAAGATTTGGGGGTTTCCGAAAATAGGGGACCCTAATATAGTACCCTAAATAGTAGGATCCTTATTATAAGGACCCCAAAATAAGGTACCCTAATTTTCGGAAACTCCCATTTGGTCTTGGTAGCTCAATGCTGCGGAGATTTGGAGCTTTCTTGCTTCCTTTCAGGTCATGGCCTTGGCAGTGAGGTGTTCTGGGCCCGGGCGTTTGAGCCCGAACGCTTTGCCCAACACAACGTCAACAGTGATAGAAAGTGCTCATGTATCATGCAGTCTTCTTGATATCGAGTCATATCTGCAGCACCGTTCATTTGCTAGTAATCAAGAAAGTTCGTTCACAATTCTGTGTTAAGACTTCTCGAATTTTCGCTCTACAGCCATTAGTGCCTTAGTGCGCCGCTGGACCCCTGAAGCTCACTTCCGACTTCCGGAAACTTCGTCCGACATGATGTAGGGGCCTTAACAATAAGAATAGGGTCTTCGGGTATATCATACTATACTTATAATACGGACCCCCCCTGTAGTAGATGTTGCCACTCTTGCCCTGAAAAACAAGCCTTGCCATATCGAGGTCCATCATGCCGCTACTGCACCGCTAAGACTCCAAACCCAAAAGCCCTCTACCAGACCCTAAACCCTAAACCCTAAACTCTAAACCCTAAACTCTTGAACTCTAAACCCTAAACTCTAAACCCTAAACTCTAAACCCTAAGGCCCTATAAACCCTAAACTCTAAACCCTAAACTCCAAACCGCTCTACCAGCGAAACCTGACTTTCGTCAAGATGCCGGTGGATCTGCTGGATAGCCTCAGTTGCATGGAGAGCTCAGGTTCTCGACTTCATTGCTCAGGGTTTAGGGGTTCAGGGTTTATAGAAATTGTTAAGGGTTTGGGTGCTCGAAAAAAAGCCTTTAAAAAGGTTGCCAGAGTCGTTTTGGAGCTGGGCTGGGCTCGCAAGCGACAGGGTTGCTCTGGCAACCCTATGGTGGATTCCTGGGGGGGTGGCTGCGGGGGGTCTCCCCCTGCTCGCCCACGGGGTGCGGGGCGGGAGCCCCCCGCGAAACGGTGGCGAATATTTGCGATTTTCCACAAAATTCGGGTAAATGGTGGCTTCGGGTGTTTTGGCGGTGCTGGGCTGGTGTGGGTGGCAGCCCTACTTTGGCAACCCTGTACAGGAGGACCTGTTCTGTTAACCGTTTTGCAGTGACTTCTCCCTTGCCCCCTTCAAGTCAAGCTTGGATACTGTGTAGTTATTCTGCATACACTTTACATGGGCCTCTGCTCTGACAATCCAGTTAAAAAGGGAGTTGGTTGCTCTGTCAACCTTGGAGAAACGCTCCCTGCTCTGGCAATTTTATTATCGGATAGTTTGTACCAGCAGCGTTTTGGAAGGATTCCGTTTCAAGCACAAGTTTTGTCAAGCCTTTGAAAAGGTGTTGTTGATACGATGATTTGTTTTGTCCACCCTTTCAAAGAGCCCTCAGTTTTGACAAGCTTTCTAGAAAGGTCCTGCTTCAGCAACCTGTTGCAAAAGGACCTGCTCTGTCAGCCTACTCAACCGGGCCCCTGGCTGGGCCGGGCTGGGCTGGGCTGGGGTGGGCTGGCTGGGTTGGGCTTGAAACGGAAATTGGTTTATTCGATAATGGCTTGGGCTGGGCTTGATTTGCAACGGAAATTGGTTTATTCCGGATGGCCAACAGCAACACGCAATTTCTATTTATCATTTTCTTGAGGGTTTAGGGTTTAGGGTTTTAGGGTTTAGGGTCTAGGGGTTTAGGGGTTCGGGGGTTTAGGGGTTTAGGGTTTAGGGGTTTAGGGTCTGGGGGTTTAGGGGTTCGGGGGTTTAGGGTTTAGGGGTTTAGGGTTTAGGGTCTGGGGGTGACAGTCCAGTCAAGGACGAAGAGGCTTTCGGCTTTCGGGCGCGGGTTTGTGGCTTTGGCATCAGTTTAGGGTTTAGGGTTTAGGGTTTAGGGTTTAGGGTATCTCAGTCGCACTGCATGTGCTTAGCCACATTGAACTGAAGCTTTTAAGACTCCACCTTCCAAACTCTTACATTCAAAACAGCTCAGCAAGTCTGTGCAATCCTAGCCAGGCATATGCCAATATAGAAGAGCACTGGCTTTCAGTGATAAGCTTTCTGAGCCCGTCATTGTGGGAACAAGCATCTCGTCAGGGGAGACGTGCTACACATTTGTTATATAGAGTATCCAGCTTACCTCCACCTGCAAACAATGTGTTTCCATTCTCGACCCTAGTGCCTGGTGCGCTCCACACCCGGAACCCCCAGTTACTTAAAGGATCATGGGACTTAGTAAGTAGGGTTATAATTAGGGTAACTATACTTATAACCCCAATTGAAGGGACTTATAACCTTACTTACTAAGTCCCATGACCCTGTAAGTAGGTATACTCCCCTAAACCCTAAACCCTAAACCCTCATGGATGATGCAGTCCGAAGCCCAAGCGACCCATTGCCGCACGCTGCTCCGGCGTCAGAAAGCGCACTCCGTTGAGGTGGCAGATGAGAGGCCTCCCAGCACGAACACCCGCTCAGCTGATTGGTGGTTTAGGGTTTAGGGCTTAGGGTTTAGGGTTTAGGGCTTAGGGCTTAGGGTTTAGGGTTTAGGGTTCAGGGTTTAGGTGTATGGGAGGGTTCAAGGGCTGGGAGGTTTGGAATTAGGATATGGACGAAGCAGCAGATGAGATGCTCATGTCGTCAACGTCAAATGGCCTTCGTGTACCATCTGACGCCGTGGAAATACAGTGGTACCTCAGACAATCCGAAGCTTCGCACCGGGCAATATACCGACAGGAAGAGTCACGGTGATCTGCACATAGGCATGTGCATTGTATCTATGAGCGTTGTCTGTAGTATAAAGAGACGCACGCGCGCGCACACGTGTACATGTATATCTACCAATACACACATACGCACATGTACATGGCATGCATACAGAAGTACATACCCACACAAGCTCATTCATCTATGTATAAACAAATATGTGCACACACGTTCATGCATCCCTCCATGCCCCTCCATGCATGCATCGTACATGCATTGCATTACACTACAAAAGAAGTACGTCACATGGCATTGCACTATTTTGCATTACACGACCTGATGTTGCATGGTGTTGCCTCGCATTTCAGTGCATGACATTGCTTTGCATGGCACTACATTGCATGTGCTCCATGCATCGATCTATCGGACTAATCCTCCAACGTACAGATTTCGCTGTACTCATGTGCATAGCCTCATGCATGACGTACACCCCCACGAAGCCACTCGCCCTCTGCCCTACGACGAAAGCCTGCTAACCTGGAAGCTAAGCTCAGAAGTGCCAAACTGGCGTTGCCGAGTCGTTTAAGCTGCACAAGCTCGCCGAGCAGAGCCATTGGGCTCAAGGGGCTGGACGCGGGACCAGCACCACTATTATAGGGGCGGGGAAAATCAGAACAAGTTTCGGGGAATATTATACTACCGAAACTATTATAGTAAGGAGCAGCAAAGTAGTATGCTTGGTCGGCCCCAGACCAAGACCCGTGTCATTAGTGCCCTCCCTCAACACCAGCCTTCGAAGACCCCTGTCTAGCAAGCTGCTCTTCGGCGAGGTACCTGAAAGAACTTGATTGAGAATCGCCCCGCTACAGTTTGATACAAGCCCACATTCGACAGGCTTTACCTCTCCTTGACCCCTTGCAGCCCCGAATCTGTGAAGCACGTAATGCTCTAAAAGTAGCCTCTGGCGCCTGAGGCTGGGAAAGTGCAGGTGAAACTTCTTGCCCCCTCAACCAAGGAAGCCAAAACTCGATGCTCCATTTATCGGTGCCGAGGAAATTCTGGGATCTCCGGCGTTCCGTACTTCGCATGGGCCTCCATGCCCTTCGCCATTATATCATTCCTCTGGCGGACCTCATAAGGCTGAGGCTTGATCAGGGGGTTTAGGGTTTAGGGTTTAGGGTTTAGGTTTCCATCTTGCCTGGGGCTAACCCACCTTCTGCTTCTTCAACGTTAAGCCCGGATCCCCCACTAGTCTTGCATCAATCGGGGCTCCGACACATGGGGGTTTCCGAAAATAGGGGACCCTAATATAGTACCCTAAATAATAGGATCCCTATTATAAGGACCCCAAAATAAGGTACCCCAATTTTTGGAAACTCCCACATGTCTTCTGGTACTGTACTGGAATCAAACAACCCTTCTGTGACGAAAGCAGGAAAAGTCTCAAGTGAAAGCTGCCGCACGACTTTTCTCATCCAGCGACGCCAAAGGTCTCTTCGACGAAGTTTCCGGGATTGTAGGCCTCCTCGCCAAGACCAAAGGTTCCGAGGCTTGGAAGACTTTCGGTTCGGACCTTCTGCGCTTATGGGCTCTTCGGGTTTTGGGGTTTAGGGTTT